AAAGACAGAATTGTAGACATAAGAGGAACCTAGCGACCGTCCTATCACCCCCTCATTTTATATATATTGAGACAGGATAGTGGATATGTCTGGCTGGGTGGCGGGAGTTGAGGGTGGGTGGCAGGGGGTGTGGTGAAGTAGTGATAGCAATGGTTACAGGATAGAATAGAGCAGGGTTTGCAAACCACAGCCCGTGGGCCGATCCAGTCTTCCACGTGTTTTCGTAAAGAATGTTTTACTGGAGCAGCGGCACACCCATTCGTTCATTACTGTCCTTGACTATTTTTGCACTACAACAGCAGAGTGAAGTAGTCGCAACAGAGACTGTATGACTTTCAATGTCTGAAATATTTACTACCTGGCTCTTCACAAAAAAATGTTTTCTAACCCATGGGAAAGAGAGAGGCACATGGGTAGATGTAAGAACTTTCTAGTTCTTAGAGAAAGCGTTACGTTCACAGATGTTTGTTACATTATGATGAATTGACTGAATGCTACACATGGGCCACTGATAGTCATGTATCATCAAGAAAGGATTATTATTAAATTATTAAATTCTGTGTACCTAAAAACTAGATAGGATAAGGGAAGGAGGAAAGGAGGGAAGGAGGAACAGAAGGAAGGAAGGAAGAAAGGAAAGAAGGAAGGAAGGAACCATTTAGCCCTTATTAAGATTTAAATGGCTCTTTGTCACCTGACCTACTTCATCACCTACACTTGACTTCCCTATTGAATCTGCAATGCTCAAAAAATGTTGGAGAGAAGGACAAAAGATGGCAGGCTGGGTAAAGTAGACTTTTAGGAATGAGTTTACTAGGTTCTGTGAAGTGGGAAGGGGCTTAGCCAAAGAGCAAAGCGTCCCCAAAGAACAGGCAATTGAAAATAGTCAGAATTCAATTTGTCATCTTCCACTCACAAGGGGTCTCTTCCCTCTGTACCACCATAGTGGCATGAGGGGCCATGCTTCATGGCCATTCCTCAGGACCTCCCTTCTACTGCCAAGGCAAGGTTGCCCTTCCTTCTGAGCAGCAAGGAGGTCCTGGAAGGCATTCCCATGGGGGGCTGTGACCATGGATGAAGACACTCTGGGCCATGACAGGCATTGCTTTATTTAATCCTGGGCACAGTCTCATGAAGTAAGGTCTACTGTTTGCCCCATGTTAGCGACAGGGCTCTGGGTAGGCAAGTCACTTGCTGGGAGACCTGGAGCTGGTGATGGTGGAGCTGAGATTCAAATGCAGAGCTGCCTGATTCCAGAGCCCACATTCGACTGCTCAACTATGCTGCTGGGGCCAGGGATTCCACCTCATGCTGCCTCCGTAAAAGCAAGGTTTTTACCTTACACGTAGTTGCCATCGGTGTGCGGGACATATTGGCTCACTGCAGAAGGGCACCTTCAGGCATTGAACCGCCACCTCCCAAATGGCAGGGGATTTGCACATTCAAAGACCCGGTTCCAGTCCCTGGTGGGAAAGTTCCCAGCAGCTTCAATTAGAGAACAGTCACAGTTCATTGATGCCTGATGCTCACATGGGGTGGCTTTATTGTTTTATATGTGAAAAATGAGGAAAGGGCCAGAACCTCAACATCAGGGAGACGATGAAGAAGAATTTCCAAAGTCATGCTAACCAAAAAGGGAAATTCAACAGAGAAGGTGGGGGCGGGGAGCGAGCAGCTGAGAAGTATTTGTGGCACCAGGGAGAAGAGGTTGTGTCCACTAAAGGAAACCATGGCTATGAATTTCAGAGCATCAAGACCCTGTCAACACAGCTAATCCCCACGGATGCTGGCTGAATAAGGCTGCCATGACCAAGGAAGAGCACTGTGGAAACCGTGTCAGCCTCCAGCAGGACAATTTGTCCTCATATTACACACTCTGCTGGTTCTGTTGCTAGACCCCCAGACTGAGGATCTGCATTGAGTATCCCCCAACCCGAGGAGGGTTGACACAGCGTGGTTAATAAGTCAACAGAATTCAGAAGCCACGACCGGATTAAGAAGGCAGTTTTATTTTGGTGCCCTGGACTTCAAGCAGATTAAATAATCAAAAAGGCCGAGCCACCGGGGTCATGTTTGAATGCTACAGCTGTTCACCGAGGTTTGACAGACATTCTTTATGTGGCTCGTTGTCTGAATGGGAAAGGCAGGGATGATCTCGGGGAGGCCGACACTTTAAGAAAGAAGAAAGGGCACAATCAAAAGATCCTCTTATGGAAAAAGATCCCAGCCAGATGGAGACAAGAAGAAGGGCTGCTTAAATAAGTGGTCTCCTGAAAGCGACAACTGTTTTCTCGCATTGAAGAAAAGCACAGGCAGAATTCAGAAAAAGCGGATGAAAAGCCAGGCTCCAAGTTTGCCATGCCCTTGGTTTGTTGATCTGCAAATTAATAAAGGTGGGCGACACATTCAGTGAAGACGCCTGTGGGGACTCAGCCATGGAAGGTGAGCCATGATTAATTCTGCCACCCTGTAGGAAAGCTCTCATCTGAAAAGAGGGAAGTGATCCCCTCAGAAAGGTATCTGTGGGAAATCTGTTCTCAAGTCACCTGTCTTAAAAGACTGGATGGATGTAAAAGATGTCTCTGAGTGGGAAGATTTAGGTTTGCGTCATGCTGGGTGCAGAGGAGTGGGTGGAGACCAGTGTTTGCAGCCATGTGCGGTTGGTGTATCACGGGCCATTGCTTCGAAAACATGGTGCTTGGGGTTGAGCTCAGATATTATTAGTCCCTTTGGGGGAAGGGTGGAACTGAAGAAATAATGAACAAATTGGTGACAACCTCAGAAAGACAAACCTTTCATTAATAGATTAGTGGATTATCTGGAGAACATGTTCTCTGGCATAAGAATTGATTTCCTGCAACTGAGGAATGTTCGAGCACCATAGCAAAAGTGAGGGGTGTCGGGTCATTTCTGACAGGAAGATGTTTTGGCTTAGAGAGGAGTCGTTTAGATTATTTGTAGAATTATAGAAAGGAAAACAAGGGCTTTGCTCTTCTGTATTTTGGAAACGGGAAGGGGACTATGATGTCCTGCATCCCTTGAACTAAATTAAACTGAGCAGAATCTCCTTCAGAAGGTTCTCCAAACACCTTCCCTGTTGCCCTAAAGCACTGTGAGCTCAGTAGAGAATGCAAGGAATGAAGGAGAACAGGCTCGGGGCAGTGGACAGCCACACTGTGTTTCTAGTTAAGGCCCCAACAAATAAACAAACAAACAAAACCTCTTTCAAGAGCTTTCATTATAAGTAGATAACTATTTTGAGTTTTGAATATTACCACATGGCCTTGTGACTTCTTCTGCCCCTTTAACAAAAATGCCTTTGACAGATGTTTGCCTTATTTTGAAATTCAAGTCTTGGGAAAAAAGAAGGGAGTGATATAGCTACTTTGGAGAATGATCTAGCAGTATCTAAGAAAATGTAAACTCAGCATCCTCTCTGAGCCCTACAAGGAGACGACTCTAGATTCCAGACCCTCTCCCACTTCCTGTATAGCCAAGGAGCTCCGGCCCAAGGGTGCTCTTTGCAGCATTGTTTGTAATGAAGAAAAAAACTGCAGAAATTCAAATGCACCTCAGTAAGGGGGTGGATAAATATTAAATTGAGCACAGTGTCAATATGGAATACTCTACAGCAGTTAAAAGGAATGAATTAGCTTTCTGTAAATGAATAGAGAAAATTACAGAATGAGACATGATGATGATTACATTTATATGGATTTTTTTTTTTTTTGGACCAGTAAGGGGATCGCAACCCTCGGCACGGTGTCATCTGCACCATGCTCAGCCAGTGAGCACACCGGCCATCCCTATGTAGGATCTGAACCCACGGCCTCAGTGCTACCAGCGCCACACTCTCCTGAGTGAGCCATGGGGCCGGCCCCATTTATATGGATTTTTAAAAACCACTCTGCAAAACAGTGTGTGTTTTGTGAAAAAGTATTTGACAGGCAGTGGAGCACAGTGGATAAAAACCCTGACAGATTCTGGAGGCAGACTAGCTGGATTCAAATCACAGCTCTACTACTTACTATCTGTGTGATCTTGGCAAGTGATTTAGCTTCTGTCTTCCTCAGTTTCCTCATCTTTAAAATGGGAATAATAATATAACCATATTTACAAGATTATGAGAATTAATATATATAAAACAGAATGGTGCCTGGCTCAAAATGTATGCTTTCTGGTAATTTGCCATTGTTGTTATTAACTATTGTTTTTGAAAGGTCTAGAAGGATACATGAATAATAGTGGGGGAAAGGGAAGCTCATGTTGGAAAATATTACTTGGGCACTAATCAATGCGAGTTCAACTGCATCAGTAATGCCTTGCTTCTTCAAGCTAAAAGAAAAAAGATGAAGGAGTATGATAACTCATGAACAACTGGTAGAACTTTTATAGGAACATGGATGTTTATTACATTATTCTTAATGCCTTTTTGTGTTTTTAAAGCCTCTTGAATAAAAAAGGAACAGAGACAATCATCATTCATGGAATTACACCTACAAAGGTGGATGTCAATATGAGGAATGCTTTAGACCTACCCTATCCAATATGATAACCACTAGCCACATGTGGCTATTTAAATTAATTAAAATGAAATGCAAATGAAAATTCAGTTGCTGGGCTGTGGTAGTCATATTTTAAGAGCTCAGTAGCCACATTTCCAGCATCACAGAAAGCTCTACTGGACAGTGCTGCTCTGCAGCACAATTTTCAGAAATAGGAATATCTGAAATCCCCTCTCACTCTTCACACATCTGGCCCCAAATAATTCTGCTGCACCCTACAAAGGACATGTGCCCCCCAAAAGATGTTTTTCACCTTTCTATCCTTAAGTCTGCCATCTTCTGATTACTGAGCCACTAAGAAAGTATCTTTTCCAAGACTTCCGACAATAGTTAGCACAGAGATTGCAATAGTTGTTGACACTGGAGATATACTCAGTCCAGCAAATTCTGCTAAAGAGAGTGAATGATAGAATCTCTCTTCGAGGTTGCAGAAGGTGTTATCTGGCTCAGAATCACAATACCTGTGAATTCAAAGGGAGGCAAATGCTGATACTGCTCCTCACAAACTGTTCCTATCTCAATGTCTTTGTTGCAGGTGAACTGTTCCTGCTTTCAAGTGTGATTTTCCTGCTCCAGGTGGTCTCTGGCTGTCCAGAGAAGTGCCGCTGTCGCTCATCTTCAAGCTTTGTAGACTGCAGTCAGCAGGGTCTCGTTGAAATCCCTTCTGATTTGCCTCCTCAGACTCTAACACTGCACTTACAAGATAACCAGATACACCAACTTCCTGCTTTTGCATTTAGGTCAGTGCCACAGCTCACGACCTTAAACTTGTCCAACAATTCTCTTTCAAATCTGGCTCCTGGAGCTTTCCTTGGACTTCAGCACTTACGGGTTTTAAACCTCACGCAGAACTCGCTGCTTTCCCTGGAAAGCAGACTTTCCCATTCCCTGCCGCAGCTGAGGGCGCTTGATTTGTCGTCAAACAACATCAGCCATCTTCCCACATCCCTGGGTGAGCCTTGGGAGAACCTAACCATTTTTGCAGTTCAACAAAACAAGCTTCAGCAGCTCCACAGAGCACTCCTAGAATCCATGCCCAACGTGAGGTTTCTATTTCTCAAGGACAACCTCTGGAAATGCAATTGCCACTTGCTTGGTCTTAAACTCTGGCTGGAGAAATTTATCTTTAAAGGTCAGTAATGTCTATTTAGAAGCCCCCATCTGTGTGTTACCAGCTAGGATGAACTTCATCTGTTTTTTGCATTAGAAGGAACATTGAGGAGTGTGCAAGGGGCAGATTTAAGCTTTTTCACATCGATGTCATTTCATGGTAAGGCACAAGAGGAAAGTGAGTCATCAGTGGGTGTTTAAAGTCAGGCATTTGAACTCATCTACAAATATGATGCATAGCGATAACTTTTCACTTGTTTGATTAACATAATATGAAGTTCCTTATGTGTGAAGCACACCCTGAATAACTGCTCAACCCCAAACTGGCACCAAACTCTAATTTTCAAGTGTGATCCCATTGGGGGCGGGGCTATCACTCCTTGGGATATTTTTTCCTTTTTGTCTGCTTCTACCCATTTGACAGCTATAAATCTTCCCTAAGATTGTTCCTTCTGTTTTAGCACATACCACCATTATTGAATATGCACAATATGTCCTCTTGCTAAAGTTACTCACTATCTTTAACCAGATGCCAAAAGCAAACCAAGAGAATCCAGAAAATCAAAGACAAAGGGCTGTGAAAATCACCCAGGGGTTAGCAAACTAGAGCCCGAGGACCAAATCTAGCCGACCTCCTGTTTTCGTAAATAAAGTTTTATTAGAACACAGCGATGCCCATTCATTACATACCGAGTGTCTGCTTTGCACTACAAGGGCAAAGTTGAGTAATTGTGACAGAGACTGTATGGCAAAGCTTACAATATTTACTGTCTGGCCCTTTATCAAAAAGTTTGCCAACCCCTGTTATCAATGGGAAATGGAAGCCCAGAGAGATTCAGTGACTCACCCAAGAATAGAAGCACAGAAGAGAACAGAATGTGTGGCTTTGGGGTCTTGGCCCTACAGTCTTTCTTCTTCCTCACAGTGTGTATCTCCTCTTAACTCCCAGCATCATTCATTCATCCCTATACTCGAGCACCTCTTATGTGCCAGGCACTGTTCTAGGCACCGAGCATAGGGAAGTAAACAAGAAAACTCCTGCCATCACAGAGGTTACATTCTGCTAGTAGAAACAGATGAGATGATAAACACAGACACATATTCAGATAGCAGTTAATGCTAAGAAGACAATGAGGCAGGGGAAGTGGAGATAGAATGACGGGATGGGGTCCCGTTTTAGAAAGGACAGACAGGGAAGGCCTCTCTAAGGAGGTAACATGGGTGAGCAGCGCATAAACAATGAGGAGGAACGAACCATGAGATAAATAAGGGGAAAGGACAGCAAGTCAAAGGGCCTCACCAGGGAGGAAGCCAGGCTTGGCTGAGGGACCAAAACAGGGACAAAATAGAGGCCAGAACGGAGGAAGGGAGTGCCAGAGACGAGCGACACAAGCACTTGGGGCAGGCTATGCGGGCCCATGCAGAACAGGCTGAGACGTTTGGATTGCTTTTGAAGTGAGCTGGAAAGCTCTGGAGGAGTTTTAGTCAGAGGAACAATGTGATCCAATTACAATTTAAAAGGTCACCCTGGTGACTCTTGGGAGAGCAGACCACACACTGCAGAAGCAGCAGCAGGGAGGTGAGATAGAAGGTGATTTTGGTCAGCCAGGGAAGAGATGACGGTGGCCCAAACCGGGGTGGTGAGAAGTGATCAACTCTGGCAGATATCTGGAATATTGAACTGACAGAGTTGCTAATGGGTTGGAGTGGGAGATAAAGAAAAGAGTGTAATGGGCCAGCCCGGTGGCGCACTGCTACAGTGCGCCGCTTGGGAGCGCGGCGGCGCTCCCGCCGAGGGTTCAGATCCCACATACAGACCGGCCGCTCACTGGCTGAGCGAGGTGCGGACGCAACACCAAGGGTTGCGATCCCGTTGCCGGTCCCGGTCCGGTATGGGCGTGACGCTGAGGGTTGCGATCCGTTGTCGGTCACGAAAAAAGACAAAAAGAAAAAAAAAAAAAAAAAGAAAAGAGTGTAATGGGCCGGCCCGGTGGCGCACTGCTACAGTGCGCCGCTTGCGAGCGCGGCGGCGCTCCCGCCGAGGGTTCAGATCCCACATACAGACCGGCCGCTCACTGGCTGAGCGAGGTGCGGACGCAACACCAAGGGTTGCGATCCCGTTGCCGGTCCCGGTCCGGTATGGGCGTGACACTGAGGGTTGCGATCCGTTGTCGGTCACGAAAAAAGACAAAAAGAAAAAAAAAAAAAAAAAAGAAAAGAGTGTAATTATGGGAAATTCTATTCCATTTTGGCCTGCAGGGGTAACCAGATAAATGGTGATGCCTTGAGCTGATGACTGGGGAGAGGGGAGGTGGGTAAACGTGCGTGGGAGGCTGTGGGTCAAGTGTTCAGCCTGGGGCATGTCAAGTTTGAGATGCCCATTACTTGCCCAGGGGAAGTCGTTGAGTTGGCAGTTGCATATTTGATCCTGTAGCTCAGGAAGATATCAGAGCTACAGATATGGATTAGGGAATCCACAGAGTCTGGATGGCTGCAGCAGTTCTCAGAGGGAAGCAGGTTAAAGTATAGCAGGAGTTCAAATATGCAGTATTGAATTAAGAGTCCTTGTCAACAATATAGGACATAACATGTCACTAATCAGCCAATGTTCAAGTTAAACTACAACAGGAGCCATATAATAAATACAGCAATATCTTTCCTATAAGAGGTTGCAAATAAAACTGTTTACATCTGGAGGTGAAGGGGCTTGAGTTACTGTGTTCTGGATTAAATCATAAGCCACTCTGTCACAGAAAAACAGTTTTCATAAAGGAAGAACATTTCTTTTTTTTTTTTTTTTTTTCCTTTTTGTCTTTTTTACTGACCGGTAACGGGATCGCAACCCTCGGTGTCGCGCCCGATCCGCGCTCAGCCAGTGAGCAGGAACTGGTCTCCACATGGGATCCGAACCCGGCACACTCTCCAGTGCGCCACCGGGCCAGCCCGAAACTTGCTTTCTTATTAACCACAGGGTAGGATGCTAATATTGAGAACATTTCTTGATAAAAAATAGTTCCCAGGCCCAGGGCACCAGAAGCAATGTGAGATGGGATGAAGTTCTCCTACTCTGCCACAAACTTGATGGTGATCTTAATTAACACCCTTCACTAGTGCTCAGCGTCACCAGGTGGAAGCCAATGGTGTTAAGCCCAGGAGTTCCTGGGGCCCATTCTGGTCCTCAGATTAGGTGATGTAGTTCAACGTCCATTCATAATAGAGCTGCCCCAGCACACACAACAGCCTTTCTTCAGGGGTAAATTGATTTGGGGTAATAAGACCTGGATGTCCCAAAATAACTAGAAAAAAACCTCAAATAGATGCTAAGCATGAGAGACTGTCTGATTACAGACATATTGAATAAAGGTAAAATAAGGGAATGGATATTAGTCAAGACCTTTTAAAAAAAAAAAAAAACGAAAACATAAACAAATGTAAACATTGAAGGTATTAGTCAGGGCAGGCTAATTGATACAGCAGACAACCCCAGAACTCAGTTATACATGCGATAAAAGTCTGTTGCTCTCTCATGTCAGAGTTCAAGTGCAACATCTGGGTGCAGAGGAATGAAATGGCCCATGAGGAGAGGATCCTCTATCTCAGTGCAGCTCCGTTAAAAAAAAAAAACGAAAACATAAACAAATGTAAACATTGAAGGTATTAGTCAGGGCAGGCTATTTGATACAGCAGACAACCCCAGAACTCAGTTATACATGCGATAAAAGTCTGTTGCTCTCTCATGTCAGAGTTCAAGTGCAACAGCTGGGTGCAGAGGAATGAAATGGCCCATGAGGAGAGGATCCTCTATCTCAGTGCAGCTCCGTGGCCCCTTGGGCTCATCTGCAGCAGCCACCTCACACCTCTGGCCTCATGAAAATTAGTGGCTCAGGAAAGGGAGAAATTCCTTTTACCTTTTTGCTTTAGAATTGGGACTCTTGTTTCAAGGGATTGCTGAAGAAGCTAGGAGGGTCCCAAGAAACTCTGGTCGTGGGTGATTCAGTTTTAAAAAGTAGCAGCAAAAAGGGCATGGGCTGAATTTTGCCATCACCACTAACCCTGGTGTTTCTGGGCCATGTGATAACCCTTGCACTGCAGAGCAGCCCTATCTACTCACAGGGCCACTCAGGACTTGTCTTATGAGGCTTAGATAGAATTGATGGGAAAGCATTCCCAAAATTCTGAAGTGGCATGAAACAGAAGGTGCCACTGACATTGAAGCGATGCTCTCCATGTGTGTCTTTCTGGTATAATCTCATAATTCACCCACCGTGTGCACTAAGAATCTCTAATTTAACTTTGCAAAGAGTAGTGCTAGTCTTTGCAGCCATCCCGGGGGAGGTGTTTATGGCAGCCAACTGAGACAGATCATGGGGGAACTTCTGCCCACTCAAAGGGCTTTATGTGCAGGCACTGCTGAGGGCCATCGGCCATTCCCCTGACCTCCAGACACTCCGGAGGAGGAAGTAGAGGCAGTGAGGGCAGTGGGAACAACAGGGATTGAGAGGAGACCTGAGTCTGGGTGTTGATTCGTCCATGCAGGACCTGTGTGATTCAAACAAGAATTACCCATAATAGTGCAGGACTTGTCTCAAAGTGCTTTGTAAACTCTCAAGTCAGATACAGATACAATGTTTTTTTGGCAGAAAATTTAGTCAGAGAACTTTATTTTCCCAAAGTCACACAGTAAATCAGTGTCAAACTAGGCTAGAATGATGTCTATTGGCCAGTGCTCTTTCTGGAAAAGAATTCCTGAGCACCAAATCTCCCTTCAACAATAGTAGTCTACACACCAGAGGAAATCAATCGCCTTACAGGGAATGGAAAGTGGCTTTAATAACCCATTGGAAAGTTCAGTACTCAAAGAGTAAATGTTTCAAGGCCCAAGGAGACACGTTAATTATACTTAATCCCAGGAGCTAGACTAATAGTACTTGGAATTACCAAGAGACTCAAGATACGTGGCGGCAGCCATCCTGAACATTGTTTAGGCCGTGTTTAAAAAAAAAAAAAAAAATCAGGTATGGCTTGCTTTACTCCACAGACACAGTCCTGAAGAGTTGCA